CGGTATCAAACGTGAAGGAAAGACAAGCAGTGTGGGAGCTGAATCTTGCGCAGTTGTACGGCGTGAAGACGGAGGAGGCTAAACACGGATAAGAGACAAGGTTCATAATTTTTTAACTGATTGCTTTATTGACACTGGAAAAATTGTATGGGCGATCCTGAGGCGGGGAAGGGTGGGAATGGAGGCATGTGCATGACATTTGAATAAAAAACCAATACAACACTTCTTCATCATTGGTGTGACCGGATGGTGAGTGTTCCGTATGGAAATGTCTTCAAAATGTACCATAACTACCACTTTCTTGTTTGTTTCAAACACAAGATCCTCCGACAATGAAGACATTGTGTGTAGAACGTATCATTCAGCACCTTCTTGTTGAAAGTGTAATAAACTAGGATTGCAAGGGGTGTATTGAAGGATTGTTTCATGAATAATGAAGAGTATGAAATCATAATAGACAAATTTATAAAGTATAGATGATGAAAATGATAGGAGGTATATATATAGATGATGAAGATGAGAGAAGGTATTTTTTTAACCCACACCTTACGGCCTTACCCCAACCCCTACAACGGTCTTAAGAATATAAGAAATGTTTGAGAAGGCTCCACCCCACCCCCCACCCCACCGCTCTCTTAGGCATGTAAATAGGTCGGGGTCGTGTAGTGCAAGGCCCAGACCTGCCCCATGACACACAAGGTTCCAAACTTGTTGACACATGACCCGCCCCATGCAGGGCTGGTCCGCTCCGCCCCGTCATAACCTAATTAGCTATTATGCATTTATATTTGTATGAAGTTGTTAGCACTTGAATCTACATAAAGTTTATCTATACATAATTATTAAAAATATTATATGAAATCAAAGTCACAATACACTGAAAATTTGAAAAATTAAGAAAGAATTACTTAGACTTCAATAGTTAATCTATTTACATTAATTAAAATGCTATATATAAAAAAGACATTGATAATTCAACATTCATCTCATTCAAATATAAATATTAATATATTACGGAGTATAAGATTAAATAATTTATGATTTATTATATACACACATATGTATGTAGAAGTATATTTGTAGTATAATTTTTTAAAAAATATGCATGCTTATATATTGAGTGGGGCGGGGCGGAGCGTGTCAATACTAATACCCGAACCAGCTCCATTTGCAAGACGGGGTGGGACGGAGCCGCCCCAAAAGTCTCGGGCCATGGTGGTTCATTGCGGGCCGGTTTTTTACATGCAGAGGCTCTCTGTTAGGAGCTAATATGAAAAAAGAAAATAATGTGAAGCAAAAATGCGTAGTGTACACGCCGGTTTACACGGCCGTCTACACCAAATAAAAAGCCCCACCCCCCCTTTATAACCCACCCTAGTTTTGAATTAATACTCCCCACTCCTCTTCTTCTCCCCTTTGCACACACATTAATCCTCTCCACTCCCCTTCTTCTTCCCTTTGCACACACAATATGCTTGTTCCGTTTTTTTATTTGTCTGTACCCTTCCTCTCTCTAACCTGCAACACTTCTTCATTTTCATTCAAGTGGTGATCGAAGTTGTGGTAGGTGACGAGCACCATGGAAGCCAGTGATACGTATGTCTGCGACGACGAAATTCGTTGGACATGGGAGAAAATTTTCAGGCACAATCCTGGTGAAACCTCCACGCCAGCTGCGACGGAAGGCGGTGAACATACGACGGAGGGAGACATGCAAGGCCATGAACACACGAACGCATCTGCGACAGAAGGAGTTGAACACACTCCCGCTGCCACGCTAGGCGATGAACGCACGACGGATGTGAAAGCAGTTGACGCTGAGCTAGGTTGGTGTTTATGTAGCGTCGTTTCTTCATGGTTGTTGTGTTATCTTAGTTTATAATACGTACAGACAACGTTTATAATACGTACAGACAACGTTTATAATACGTACATACAACGTTTATAATACATACATACAACGTTTCTTCATGGTTGTTATGTTATCTTTGTTTATAATACGTACAGACAACGTTTATAATACATACAGACAACGTTTATAATACGTACAGACAATTACAAATATGTTTCCATAATTCAGAAGTTCATAGAGTGGGTTTTGAATGTGATTTTAATATTGTCTTTTTTGAAAGTGGTATGATCATTGTATAAACTACTTTGGCCATAATGTTTCCCTTTCCATAATACTGTCTGTATGTGCATAATAATGTCTGTATATACATATTCTTAAATAACAGATGCAAATGAACATAATAACGGAGAGGAAGATGTTAATGTGGTTGTTCCGGAAGTAGGCATGATATTTGATACCACGGACGCAGTGTTTGAGTTTTACAAAACATATGGAAGAAGTTTAGGATTTCCGGTAAGAAAAAGAACATCAACAAAGGATAGAAAGAAGGGCGAGGTAGTGTCAATTGTGATAGAGTGTTCACGGGCGGGAAGAAGAGGTAGCATGGCATTAAACTGTTTGAGGCCTCAACCTTCAATGCAAACATCTTGTTCGGATAGAATTAGAGCACACACTACTTATGTTGGGTCATGGGAAATTTCAAAAGTGTATTTAAATCATAATCACCCCATGAGTCCCACAAAATCTAGACTATTTCGTTGCAATAGGAAGTTGACACCACACGCCATGAGAAATCTTGAGATTAATGAAGTTGCGGGAATACCCGTTCACAAGAGTTTTAACTCCGTTGTTGTTCAAGCGGGGGGGGGGGGGGGGGGATGATGCCCTACCTTTTATTGAAAAGGATTGTAGGAATTACATTGACAAAATTCGGGAGCTTAGGCTAGGAAGTGGTGATGCAATGGCTATACAAGCATTTTTTTTGTAACATGCAAGCACAATGTCCCAGTTTCTTCTTTAGTGTTGATTTAGATGATGAGTCACGCTTGAGAAATGTATTTTGGGCGGATAATAGAAGTAGGTATGCATACAAAAGTTTTGGAGATGTCATTACCTTTGACACAACCTTCCTAACTAATCGTTATGATATGACCTTTGCACCATTTGTGGGAGTGAATCATCATGGCCGATCTATATTATTTGGATGTGGCCTAATCTCAAATGAAGATACACAAACTTTTGTTTGGCTCTTTAAGGCTCAGCTTGATTGTATGGAGGGTTGTGCTCCAAGCGGTATTATAACTGATCAAGACCGTGCCATGCAAAATGCAATTCAACTTGTATTCCCGAATATTAGGCACCGTTGGTGTTTGTGGCATATCATGAAGAAGTTACCCGAAAAAATGGGTGGGCATGCAGATAAAGATCACATCATGTTCAAGGTAAGATTGGAAAGTTTGAGACTGGTTGGGAAGTTATGCTCCAAAGGTAAGGTTTTCTCAAAATGAATATTTTTATTTTAGTGAACTGCAGACAATGTTTATCCTTGTAGAGACATTAAACAAAAATAGACAGACATTATTTTATATTGTCTGTAAAGGAAGTATATCGTCTGTAATTTATACAAAATTGAACCCTGCACAGACATTTCTATTATGTCAGTCTAACTATTGTCTGTGTTGTTAGGTTTTCACTAGAGCATGATGAATGGCTGCTGGTTATGTACAACGAATGTCTGTGTTGTTAGGTTTTCACTAGTTTCACCTGCACACTGTAAAAACATCTCAACAAAAGTCATACAGACAGGTTTGGACTTTACAAAAATATACAAACAAACCATACAGACATCTCAACGACAGCCACACAGACACCTTAACCCACGAATAAGAACACAGTATACAGACATCTTTAAAAGCACAAAACAAGCAACCAATACAACCCAATTAATCATGGAAAAAAACTAATGAGGCACATACATCTCATGTACATCAATAACCTAAGGTGGAACCATTTTTTCAGATAGACATACACCTGCACACTGTACAAACATCTCAACAAAAGTCATACAGGCAGGTTTGGACTTCGCAAAAATATACAAACAAACCATACAAACATCTCAACAACAGCCACACAGACACGTTAACCCCACACACACAAACAAAAAAAATAATGGATAATTATTAAGAGTTCATTATGAAGTGCGTCTTGCAGATCTTTACTTTGCTGCCAGTTGAGTCAGCGAAGTGCGCACCATTGTAGTGGAGTTTTGGAGACGACGGCCGGACGGGGGGAAGTTGTGACTTGCGACTGGAGAACGGAGAACGACGCCGAACGGAGAACGGAGAACGGAGAACGAAGACGACGCCGAACGGGAGGAAGAGAAACGGAGAGGGAGGGCTGTGTGGCTTCGATTGAGGAAGAGAAATGGAGAGGGAGGGCTCTGCGGCTTCGATTGTTGGGTTTCTCTGGTTTTTTTCGAAATGGCACGTGAAAGGGGAGTGGGGAGGATTAATTCAAAACTAGGGTGGGTTAGAAAGGGGGGTGGGGCTTTTTATTTGGTGTACACGGCCGTGTAAACCGGCGTGTACACTACACATTTTGAATGTGAAGTAGCCATCGGTGACTAATGTCGGACGATTCTATTCCCAATTATTCAGATTTGGGACTGATGTCGGAGGAGCACAAGTTCGACACTGGTCGTCTATCCGGACATACTACTTAATTCTGGATGGACATACTACTTAATTCCGGACCAATATTGGAACCGACATGTTCCAATTCCAACTCGTCCGGAATGGAATACACAAAAAAAAAGATGATACCTCATTCTCGAGGGCCCCTATATATGACGCAAATGTCTTTGGTACGGATTTAGCACCCATTAATTAATTTAATTAATCAATTAAAGAACACCCATCACCCAAAATTCTAGAAAAATTTGTCCTTTTGTTTGGTCCAAAAAGGTGGAATCTCCCACCCCAGTAGCCTCTCACCTCAACCCGACAGAATGTTGGGTAGGTTAATCACGATGACTCCGTCACCAAAGCGGCGTAGAGCTTATACACGTGCGAACCAGAGGTCCAACCTTATTTCAGGTTCTGTAACCTCCACACGACCGCTGCGAGTTTCGAACCTTGATCACTTGGTCATTTTGGTTGTACATCACCAGTCACCATCCCGATATGAAACGGAATAAGTTTGATTGTCATATATGAACAATTGTCTTAAAAACTACAAACAAGGATGCATCAATCACATATTGATTCATTCTTTATTACGAGTACTCCGTATAAAACAAGAAATGTGTTTGGGAACATTCACATGAGTATTTGATTTGTTCACTACGTTACTTCATTTATCAGCTTGCAAATATTTAAAATATAATTACATTACATTACACTTGGTATTAAATAAATTGAGAGAGGCTGGGTGCAAAAACTAATTAAACATTCATATACATTTTCCCAACTTTTTTCTTGAGCCACAACTATCTTTATTTTCTTTTTCTTGCCGGTTAACTAATCCCAAATGCACTATTTTTTTTCTTAATTCATAAAATGAATACGGAGTGCAGACTCCATCAGCCACACCGCCCCAATTAATTCTAACATTTATCGGGACTGAACCCGACCTGTTTGTTGGACAGGTCATAACTGACACGTGTCCCCTGCTGCTGGATGTTACCTATGATAGACAGTGAGCCGGACGTCGGAGCGAACGCCAAGCAGAACTTTCCCTTCGAATCCACCGGAATCAGGTAGTTCTTCGGATGCAACATCAGCGGGCTCTCGCCGGAGAAATACAGCGCGATAGTAGGAACGGTAACTTTGGTGGTTGCCGACAAGTCGTAGCAGGTGTCGAAGATGGCGAATTCTGCGGCGGACGGCAGGTTCTGGGTGTGCTGCTTAAACGAGGCGCGGAGGGCCTCGTACGCCACAGACTGCAGCCGGGTGACGGCGGTGCCAGAGTCCACGATGATGCCGCCGTTCCCGCTACTGTCGATTTGGAAAACAGACGGCGGAATGGAGAGCTTGTCGCCGCCGACGCTGATCCCGGTGAGCCCAACGTAGAAGAAGGTGTCAATTTTAGAATTCCGGAGCATCGGCGCCGTGACCGAGTCACCGGGACGGGCCGAATTGAACTCGAGAGTAGAGGAGGAGCCGGAATCGCGGTCCACGAGGCAGTAGGAGAAAGACGACGCTTTAATTTGCGAGGGTAACGACATTGAGCCGCCGCCGAGAGCCATCAGCCCCGCCGCGCCCACGAACAGCCCCTCGTTGTCATGGCCGCAACCGATGGCGACTTCGGGGACGGTGTCGGACTTCCCGAAGGACACCGTTTCAGTCGCGAAGTCGCCTACGGTGAACGACCCGTCCCCGTAGGAAACCTGGTAAAGGCAGGAGTCGGTTTTGCAAGCGGAGACTTCAAGCGCGGAGCATTGAGGCGACTGACAGGAGACGCGCCGGTATGACGTGGACTGGGCCGGGTTGAAGAGAGGGTCGGTCTGAGAATAGCAATCGGTGCAAGGGTCGCACTGCAGCCAAGTCACGTCGCTGCCCGTATCGATGACCATGTAGAATTCCTTCACGGGCTGGCCCACGCCCATCCGGGCGAAATACTCCCCGCTCCCCTGACTGACCCCGGACGTCACCGGGCTTTCCAAATCCTCCGGCTGCACCGCCGTCTCGACAGGCCTGAGATCCGCCCGGCTCAATCCGGAGACAGCGATCCGGAGCTTCGAATCGAGGGCCGCAGCCCGGGCAGAGTCGCGGGCGATCCGGGCCGCCATGAGAGCTCCATAGTCCCGATGCGGCTGCCTCGCCAGAGACCCACGCGGGTGAATGGAGAGGGAAAACGATGATGAGTTTGAAGCTTTCACGGGGCGCTTGTGGTGGTGGGAAGCGGGAGAGAGCGCGTGGAGAGTGTTTCGGATGGCGGCAGAGACGTCGAGGAGTTGGTGGGTGGGTGGAGAGGTGGAGAGAGCGGGAGGGAAGAAGAGAGCGGCGGAGATGGAGAGAGGGAGGAGGAGGGAGAAGGCATTGATGGAGGGCATGTTTGGTTTGGTTGGTTTTAGTGATGAGGAGGGAGAGGAGATTTATGGAGGGGGGAAAGATCACGTCAGTGCTGTTTGAATAAAAACAAAGCATTTAAAGAAAGAGAGATGGGAGCATGTTAACAGCTTGAAAGACGAGTAGATGAGGAGATGAGTAGAGTTATGTTCCTTTCAACCAGTATTTACTGCTCCTAGTCAACATTTGTTTTTGTTTTGGCCCATCCCATCTCAGACGTTTTTCCATTCCGTCTTTCCATCCATCCCTGAGGCAGCGGACGATGGTACGTTACAAAAATGTAAATTGTATTATAATCTCAATTTGGCAGATAGAGAGTGAAACTTTATACTCGGTACTTGTAGAGGCCCTATTTAGCATAGTATCTCTCTTGTCAGGATTCGAACTCGGGACTTAACTCTTGTGACATTTTCTCGCTATCAAAGTGGCTACGCCCACGGGTGTCCATTCTGTCTTTGTATGAATATGAGAAGGAAGGTTGCTTTTTCTTAGGATTTCCTAGTGGAGGGCGTATTTTTACACCATCTTGCTTCAAACCATACCTTTCAGCTGTCTTGAGGAGCTGATGTTAGACCCGCATAGCTCAATAATAGCGGCCACAATTCAACCCGTCAATAAATCTAATTCTCCTTCAGATTATATGTATTCACTCAGTCAATTCAATTTTTCTCTGCAACCCAGCACCGTCAATATATCCACTCACCACATTTTTATTTAATTAAATGCATAAATTCTTACTTATTTTATTACACATCATTTGTGTGATAACTTTATTTTGACCAATAATTATTACTAGTATTTAAAAACTCAAACATTCCAATATAAAAAAAAGTAAATGTGAATTAATTTTTTTTGTAAGTATTAAAAATGCTACTCCCTCCGTAGTATAAACATTCCGTAGTATATTATTACTTTTTCATTTTATATACTATGAACTTGTTTAATACTCCCTCCGTCTCTCAATAATTTACCATGTTTGACCGGCATGAGAAATAATAAAGTAAAAACAGTGTGGTTGAGATATGTGTCGAGGAGAGAGAAATAACAGAAACCACAAATTCATTGATTAAAAGGGAAAGTGACAAAATTTTTGGGACATCCAAAAAAGGAAAGATAGCAAAGTTATAAGGGACGGAGGGAGTATTAAATTTAAATCAATTAAAACACATGTTGTAAAATTGAAATACCAACAATCAATTACTAGAAGCACACATAATATTCATTACGATAATAAAAAAGAGGAAGAAATCCTAATATATTACAATAGCGGAAAAAGCTACAAACTGTAATAGCATTATTCAACTAAACGAATGAAAAACAGTAAACAAAATAAAAATAACCCATTACACGACGTTCTCGTGATGGCCCTGCAAATGATTCACGAGATCATTGTTAAGAGCAGTGTGCACCGCAGTGCTCTTGATGCGATTATGTCACATCATGTAGTCATGCAAAGTTGGGGCATCGTGATTAAGGTCAAATTGAATGTGCAGAAAAGGGCAGTATAGTCATATTGCGCACTATAGTCTTGAGTACTTGCATCATCGTCATCATCATTATCATGAGTTTCTTCATACTCATCTTCTACAATCATGTTGTGTAAAATAATGCATGTGAGCATTATATCATGTAGTGTCTGTGTCTGATACATTCGGTTGGGCCCTCGTACGATGTGTCACGTCCCAGACCGCATCTAAGCGTGTGTACAACCGCCGTATGACCAAGTGACGTCACTCACAAGACAACGTGACGTGATCATACAAGGCGTCCATGAACATAATCCATCCATACTCAGTAGTAAACATACATATCAACATCACATTTAAACCAATGAATAGCGGAAATATTCAACGGTAAAGCATGGGCCACAACCGGCCAAAACATGGGCTCACATGCCCAAAATAGTTTATAGTATATCAAATATCCATGAGCAAGTGTTTGGTAGTTTGAAATGAATTAAGGAAGCACAAACCACATCTTCCTTGAATGACTTCACCCGTAAGAAGGTGCAAGTAGCAAGCCCTAGCTTCAACCTGAAAATGGTGGGGGGCCCCGAAGGGGTCAGTACAAGTACCGAGCGAGTAGCAAGCTAAATGTAGGGTAACTAACGTTTCAAGTATAAGACCCAAACATAGGGTGATACATACACGTATAGTACTTTCCCCCAAGTTATGAAATACATAGCAGTATATATATATATATATATATATATATATATATATATATATATATATATATATATACACTTGGAAATACTCCACCGCAGGTCATTGTTTATTTGGGAAAATAGTAGTAGTCAATATCCTTGACTCAAATCCCAACCCACCCATATGCCTATGAGTGTATAGGACTCCTCCTGGTCCTAATCAATTCATATTCTGAGTTTTGAGGACAGTACCGTCGTCCTTGGTTCTTCCTCATTTATATATATGAGTTTTGAGGACATTAAAGTCCTTGGGTCCTCCACCATGAGTTTTGAGGACATTATAGTCCTTGGGTCCTCCACCATGAGTTTTGAGGACTCTTTAGCCCTTGGGTCCTCCACCGTTTTACCTATGAGTTTTGAGGACATTATAGTCCTTGGGTCCTCCACCGATGTACATATGAGTTTTGAGAACTCTTTAGTCCCTGGGTTCTCCACCATATGCATATAAGTTTTGAGGACTCTTAGTCCTTGGGTTCTCCACCGAAATATATATTCCGAGTTTTGAGGTCTCTTTAATCCTTGGATTCTCCACCATATGCATATAAGTTTTAAGGACATTAAAGTCCTTGGGTTCTCCACCATATGTATCCCTATGATCTACCTCATATCAATCTAGATAGAGCCTACATCATAACTATTTATCAAGACTAAACCAAACCTTAGAGCTTAATCATTAGATATCAAACTTGACAATTAAACATCATAATCCATGCAATTCCATGCACAATATACTTACATAGGATGGCCGGGGTTGACCCCCCCTCAAACCGGGCCTCGATACGCATTTTCGATGAAGACAAAAATCGGGGCAGCAGCTTATCCGGCGCTGGGTATAGGGGTAGCCCAACGGCGGCGGTCCGTTGACCCCCCGGATGATCTCCGATCGATCCGAAACTTTTAAACAACATGTATTGGGTCTTAAACAACCCAAATATACCATTTTAACCATCCAAAACATCACATATGTTTTTATACACATTTTATACTTTTCACAAGCGAAATCATGTAGTATCATTCACATAAGCCAAATAACTTTGACTAAGTACATGCTTAAGTTCCTTTAAACATAATTATGAATACTTATAACATTTATTTAGGTAATATTATATTTAACCCAAGAGTTACAAGACATTAAGCCATCCACTCACCTCGAATGAACTAAAGCTGCAAGGTCTCACCCATCTCAAAGGAAAGCAGGCAGGAGGTCATCTACATATGCTGTTGCAACGGTCAACCGGGACTCAACGAGAGCTGATGGAACAGGATCTGAAATCCAACATTCTCCCAATTCATCAAATCCTACAGGTTAAGGCCGAGGATTATCACGGAGTGAGATTCTACTCTTACAAGCTTCAACGTACCGATGGGAGTGAATTTACATGCCAGGAAAATGATTTCATCATGCTCAAACCAGACGACATCTATCAAATGTTTATGGCATATCGATACCTTCCAGTCAGACAAAGCAAAACATACAGCGAAGGCCTCGCAGAAATCAAGAGGTTCATGCTCAGACAAATCAGAGTTCACTCATCTCACGACCTACAGATGGCTATCGAGTGCAACTTGACAAAAACAAATCTTACAAAGCCAAGACTGTATGGTCCAGAGCTCGAGGACTTCCCAGCATACCACATCTTCTTCACACCGCCAGCAGTCACATATCTCAACCACAAGAATGAAAAACGCCTGATGATGGTTAGCGAAGTTGAGAAATACTGTGATGGAACGCTGAAGATCATCAAAGAACAGCTGCTGAAGATGAAGGAACAACTAGAGCAAAAACTCGAAGAGGCATCGTCATACATTCAAAAGGAACATTCCACACTGGAAATCATTCTAAAAGCCATCGACGATCGCCTAGACAAGAGAAACATGCTAAGGCAATATGAGCACGCGCTGAATATGAGGAAGCACTACTTCAAAACTCAGAAGCAATAAAAAGGTGGCACTTGATCACAAAGGGGGAGATTGTTGAAGATCATTTAATTGTGAATCAAGTTTGTCACCTATCTTGTAATAGATTAGCTTTATTATTATTACTTGTATTCAATATGTGTACTTATTAGGTTAAAGTATATGGGACCAAGTGTCAGGCCCATATCAGGCTGAAAACCTTTTACGCCAACCTATACCTGCGCATATAAAAAGGCGCCTCAGATTTAGGGTTGCATTAACTTTCGTACTCGTTCCAAATAGCCTTAGCGCAAATACTTCTCTGTACGACTTCACGGTATATCAAGGAAGGTTTACATCGATCTATCTGTGTTCATCTTTACTGTTAATCTTCTTCTTGTTATACTGTTATTCTTTGCTGTAATAGAAAACAGGGACTAACAGAAATGAACAACCAAGTTGGTACTTATTAGATGTTAAAGAAGTAGAGGCAAGTGGTGGTTTATTCAAACTTTTTTATAAAAACAATGATCTAAATAACGAAAACTGAAATTGAATAATGAAAACTGAAATATAATTGAATCAAATAACGAAAACTGAAATACAATTGAATTAAATAACAAAAACCAAAATACACCGGAATTAAATAACAAAAACGAAAAAAAATGAAATACATTGGAATTGAATAACAAAAAGGAAAACTGAAATACACTGGAATTAAATAACAAAAAAAAAGAAAACTGAAAGACTACACCATCAATGCCCTAGTCAAATATAGGAAAGTAGTCATCCCCCCACGCGGAAGTGGCGGCATCGGTACTCGGGACATCTTGATCATAGCCCAAAATGGCATTTTGCTGTTCTCGTAGCCACTTTGCTTCTTCGGTGAGTACTGACTTAGATTCATGGTTACGACATTTATATGTTTCAGTCTTATATTTGCATCAGCATTCTCCGTCGCT